GACTGGGTATACACATCAATGACTGTGTAGAGTTATATGCTGGTAGTTGAATATCTAATTGTATGTTGCATAATCTTACCTAGCTATATAATATTGAGAATCTTTAGTATATGAATTATTTATAAATTTATATAAAGGGTGAGATGATGAAGTATGTAAAATTGTAAATTTGTAATATGTAAAGCGAGTAATACTTGAAAAGATATCTAAGGATGACTGATGAAGTATGCCAATAGAAGAAGTTTAGAAGACAAGGAGGAATTATTAAATGGAAGGAATAATTATCTATATTTCCTCTGTTACATTTTAAGTGTAAATGTACTGGGAACTCAGATGACAAAACATGTGCTTAGTCAGTTCTTCTATCAAATAATAAAAGTATTAGCCATATGAAATTTGTGATATCAATTATGTCACATTCCCCAAGCCTTATCAAGTCTTAGTTTCTAATATCTTTTACTCAAAATGTGACTTCCTATTGGGATATTATTTTTAGTGGAATGCAACAGCTAAAGAAATGAAATCTCTTACGGTAAAAATCAGTTCAAGAAGCCTCCTTAAATGATTAGTGATCCACATGTGGTTATAAAGCTCAGTCTCTGTGAGGAATTGTTATTTGAAAGTAGAGTAAAATATTGATTTATACTCCATTAATTTATGATGAAATCCATGCATCAAAGTAACACATACAATGGGATGGGTATAGCTCACTGCAGAGCATTCTCCTGGCATACTCAAAACCTTGCATTAGATCTCCAAAAAGAAAATAATATGTAAGTAATTGATTTATGGAGTCTCTTTCTGGCCTTGACCGCAGAAATGAAAAGCAACCTTCAAGAAAGTCTAGGCTGAAGCAAACTCAGTATAAAAATGTTTCCAAGAGTGATCTTAATAAAGGCAGTGTCACAAAACATGTTGCCAACAAGAATATCAAATTTAACAAGGTAGATGCAGAACAAAAACTGAATCCAAATGAAAGGATTAAAAAGAAAGAGAGAAAGAATCAGCACTGGTCAACCAAGAGAAAAATTGATGTAAGGATTATTTTCTTATGGACTACATATAAAAATGGCTTTCATTAAGCAAACTTAATGCTATATTAAAGCATCTCTACCTTCCATGCCAGAACAAAATTACCTAAGTCCATGTATTTGGACAAATAATTGGCTTTCTAATTACTTGTTTATCTATTCATTAAGTCAGCTTTCCTCCTTGCCAATGCTATAATGCTCCAATGAGCTATTGTGTAATTTTTTTCTTTTGAAAACAAACTGTCATTCAGCCTTTATCTTTCCAAAATTAATTTAAACTAATGAGATTTTAGTATAAATTCTACTTAGTCTCCTCTCAAATAATGTAGTTCCTTACCTTCTAAGGACAGAAAAGAACATAATTGCAAAATTGAATTGAAACTCTCCTTGGAAACTAAATTCATCTCATAGCATTTGCTAATGATATGAATAAAGACCATTGGCTATTAGATCCTCATCCTCCTTTGAAACATGTGTCCTTTTATAGACAATACTAAGGGAAAGCATCCTCTTATATATGATTCCTATGGCCAATTTTCTGCAAAGAAAGAAAATTTTTTTAAGACACTATAATTAAACAATGAAAACTTCACATTGTGTATGGAAAGTTCAAAGTCATTAAGTGTGATTACCTTGCTTAGACTCATGGGCCGTTACTCTTCTTTACAGTTAATTTTATGAGAAGCATAACTATGTATCAGTTATTTCTTTTATAACACTGTTAGTAAAACAGCATTGAAGTTGGTTAGACAAGCCTGGGTTTCATTTATATCTGAAGATTTGCAGAGTCATTAAACTACCCCTGTATCTATCTATAAATATTTATGTATGTCAATCTTTGTGGCCTTAGGTAACATGTTCAACATATGAGTCAACCTGAAGGCTGATTATGTCTAAGTTATCTGGTATATCAGTTACCTGATATATCTGTTAGAAAATTCACCTCAAAGGGAACTCAAAAGAGCTGCTGCCCTAGAGGTATAAAAAAATCTATAAAAAGAAGAATGGGGCCTGCTTATTCAAGACAATGTGTTTCTTTAAATTCAAAATGATAGGAAATTCCAGGTACTTATCTGAGCTACAATTTTTAACCATATCAGCTAAAGTTTTAGAACAGTTACTCATATGCCTCCAACCTAGATGAATAATGTCGTATTAACTCAATGCCATTAACTCCATACGATGATGTCAAATTGGGAATTTGAGTCAAGATAACCAGTGACTACTTCAACATGTATAGCTATTTCCTTTTGAAGGTGGTGGGACAGGAATGAAAATAACAAATAAATTTACTCCAGAAGCCAGCTTCTCTGTTGACCTACAATGCACAAATATATGTGGCAAAGTTAGGAATATAGAAAGAGAAAGCTAAATTTCAACAACATCATAAGGATAGAACCAGATCTTGAGAACACCTGCTCATGATTGTTCCAAGTATTTGAACAGTCCTACCAGAAATAAAAGATAGATTGTTGTCTTTTCTACATAAGCCACAATACCTTGAGAATGTATTCTACAGAGCAAAGATAGTGCTTGCATAGAACCAATTGTTACTGCAGCTAGACCTTGAAAGTGTCCTGTTTCCAGCATAGGCCCCAGGTTCCAAAAAGCCAGCTCATGCACTAAGGACAGGTCCTGGTCCTACTGGAGGAGGTGGGAATGGGGGGGTGAATTGAGAGGATGGCAAGGGGGGGCGGCAGGAGGGAGGACAGGGGAATCCGTGGCTCATAGGTAAAATTAAATTAAATTAAAAAAAATAAAAAGGATAGAAAAGAAAAAAAAAGTGTCCTGCTTATTGTCACCAGAAAGTTACATAATCACGATAATATCAGAAGATGAAACAATTACATATTAACATGAGAGCTGACATTTGAGATACATATGTCATGTGGTGGCCATTATAACTATAATTGTACTTTCCCCGTGCTTTGTAACTTCAACTCTATTTAAAGTTAAGATTCTGCTAATGGGGTAGAGGAAAAATGGCATTTATTTAAAAATCAGCTTTCTTAAGCAAGCAAAAAATCTTGGTGGTCTGAGCTCTAAAATAGGCATTTCAACAAGATCAAATTAGGTTAAATTTTTACATACAGTGGGTGGGTCCTTCTCAATTTATTTGCAGCAGAGAAGAAACTCCAGTTTCTCCACGTTTTCTATAGTCATTCTTAACTTAGAACCAGTCACTGCCAAGGACTCTCTGCACCTGAGCTATTTCTACTTACCCACTTGCTAGTTGCACTTTGTGCACTACAGCTGTCTATATTTTAGATTTTAAATTATTAAATTTCTCTCTCAAACTCCACTCAAATTCACTCAATTAGGTATATGTTGAGTGAGTTCTGACTAATGCTACTAAAGTGCGAAAATTCTTAACAGATAATACTTTCCATTTATTATTTTATTTATCATTTTTAAAGTGATCACAATCACTATACATTGAATACAAATACTACAAACTAGACTGTAATAAGTACACCCTTTATTTTCATACTCCAACTACTTCTTTTCATTTTGAATTTCCTTTTTAAAATGTATTCCTTTAAAACATCATAGATGTATACAGTGCTTCTTAATTGTATTGCCCCCTCCTTCCCTCCAACTCCCCCTGGCTGCCCTTCCAGCTTCAAGTCCTTCTTTTATGTAGTTGTCTTGTTGTACAGCCCATTGAGTTCAATCAGTTGTTGCTCATCTGGGCATGGCTGTGGGATTATCTAGGAGGGCACTGGATTTCCTGTCCTAGCATCCAGCAGTGGCTAATAGTCCCTCAGCTAGACATGGTGGGGGTCTGAGGAAGCCTTCCCCACTCTATGCTGGATTTTTTAACTGACTTGATCTAGTAAAAGTAGTCACATATCTTTATAGCATCAAAATCTGTTCTTGGCCTTCATTATTAACTCATAAGCCTCTATTCCTGTGTTCATGGCAGAGCTACTGTGGACCATTTCCCATAAAGATTCTGCAATCATACTGACTCATTTATTTGGTTTTTTCTGGTTTTTGTGGACTTAAAAAATTGTTTCTCAGGAATCCTCCAAGATTTCCTCTGTTTTTCTAAAGTGACATATGAAATTACACATACATATCACATGTAAAATTGATGCATAAAACTCTGGAAAAATGATGTAAATGTATATATTAAGTGGCTTAAAGACAAAATTATAACTATGGATAAAAGTAATGAATATGTTACTTGGCTAGATTTAGGTATTCTATAATAAATGTACAGATGTACATATATATGAATATGTACATACAGATTATACATACACATTACCTTAGCTTTTTTCATAACTTGTCTGCACTATTCACTGTCTGATCTAAGTTATGTATTCTTTCCATAGGTTTATTTTTTTCATCTATGCAAAGGAATTGCCTTCATGTTGTAAAGTTTCTATGTAGCCCAAGAACTATGACATTTCCTTTAGGCCACTATAATGGCATCCCTTACTAAAATAATGGCATCCATTACTAAAATGTTATGGTTTTTAGTAAAATTGGGAAAAACACAAACTCCTGATCATAACCCAAGAAACAAACAAGCTTTTCCTCAGCCTTTGGCTGAAAACATTAACCTTATTTCATACTATTCTCCCCATATCTACCAACACATTTGCCATTCTGGATGCCTTTCGGTTTCTCAAATTTCAAAGCTCTGTATCACATTAAAGTCTTCCCAAACCTCTACTTTTTCTACTATATATTTAGAGGGAAAATCAATGATCAGTATTTTTGAAAATTCAGATAAATTGTTAAATATTGTCATTCTATAATAAAATTAAGAGCAAATTTTCCATATGATAGAATAAGAAAACAAGGGTTTATGAAAAGTTTATATTAGAGGAATATACTCAAGTCACCATCACTAATTTACTACAATTTCTTATCAGTTCAGTTTCTCTTCAAGTAATTATTTCATAAAAAATAAACATACACATGACTTTGTGTCTGTAAGGTGATGCAACAACTTACCTGAGATCATCAGGAAGCCACCTCCAACTTTATAACATCCAGCACTGGCAAAGGGCACCCCATACACCAGCAGAAATCCCCCTGAGAGACTAGAAGCAGCACCTAAAATAATGAAGATTGTCCAAAAGCCTCTGTACACTAGAGAGTGAGAGAAAAAAAGGGTCAGAGCATTGTTTTAACAATTTCCTTTAAGCCACCATAATGGCATCCCTTACTAAAATGTTACTGGAAGATTTTTCATAAAATCCAGTTGAGAAGAATCAGCACATGAAAACAATCATGGCCTGTGAAATGGTTGGCTCAGCAGGTGAAAGCATCTGTTACCAAACATGAGTTCAATCCTTGAATTCTACATCAAGGAAAGAGAACAGAGTCCTACAAGTTGTCCTCTGACCTCCACATGTGTACTGTGGCACATGTCCCCACAAATGAATAAATAAATAAATGTAAATCTTTTAAAAGAATAGGCTATTCTAAAGCAATAAAGAAGATCCCCTTACCCAAACAATCACAAATACAGTGAAAGAAGAGCTGAGAAGTGTCCCTAAAGATGGGCATTACAAAACAAAGGTATAAGCCAATTCCAACTCTGCTCTAGGAGCAGGGCTCCTTAGTGTGTGGGAGGAGCAAAACAGAAGTCTGATTCCTGGTGAAAACAGGCTGGCAGTCCTACCCCTGGGATAAGCCCATGGCTCTCCCATGGCTCAAGTGAAATATTGAGGATTTCAATAAAACAGTGGTTCCTCGGGTAGACAGGTCAACAGTGGATGGGAATTTCAGTTTATTACACTGTATAATCCAGATAGCAATAGCCTGGCTCACATCCTGTGTTACACTTGGTGCTTGAGAATGGAACAACCACAAGTTATAGAACCTGAGTTTAACTTGCTAAAGCTCCAGAGTTACAGATGTCTCTAAGAAGCATTTGTGGTGGGTGGGAGGGCCAGACAATGACAAGCTGAAATGTGTAGACTGAGGTCATGCAATGAGGTGCACAAGTTCATAGAACAGCCTCAGTGTCCAAGAGTAGATCTCCTCAACAGAGAGAACACTGGAGTGCATAAGCCCTGAACTTGAGGTTCCTTAGTGGATCAACCCCTGAAATTACTCACCTATATGCTTGCCATTCACTGCAATAGAAACTAAGAACTCTAAAGAACATCCCTCCTACAAGGTGATTAATATTCCAGAGATCTTGAAAATAAGACATAGCCTCCACCTCAACAGATCTCAGTGCTGTGACTGTTTTCCACATTCCCAATGGGAAGACCTTCTCAGCTAGAACATAAGCCATCCCATGGGGTAACAGCTACAGACTATGGAAGAGTACGAGAGCCTGAGCTGTGAAGTTAACTGGGGCCAGCAAAGGCCATACAGAGGAGGGAAGCTATTAAAGTGAAGTCACCTGTGCTGAACATCAGACACTTTTTCTACACAGACTCAACGAACCATACAGAACAAACCATGAGAAAATCAGGAGTCCACAACTTCAACTGAATACTTTTCCTTATGCAAAACCTCAATGATTTAAGCAACAAGAAAAAAGTTGTTCCATTACTTCATCTTTTTTTTTCCTTGATTTTGTCTCCTGTGCTTCCCAGATTTTTTGCTTTACTACATCTTTAGCAGCAATTTTGCTATGTAATGTTTAATACTTTTAATATTTTTAGCCTTTATAATTCATATAATGCGATTTATACGTTTTACTTTATTGGACAATTCTTTTTCCTCTCTTTTCTTAATTTTTCTCCCTAAGTATCCATGTTGTTTTTCTCTCTACTATACTTTTGGTCATACTTTCAGTTTTCAATCTCATGTTTTGAATTTCACGGTCCATATGGTTAACTAATTTGTACACCAAATTTTCTAATTATTGGATTTTTGTCTTTTTTTTCTTTTTCTCATTTTCCCAATCTCTTTATTTATCTCCCTCTACATATTTTGTGTCACTTGTCTTCTTGTTCCTTTCATTTACTTAATGTTGCTCCCATAGTTTCCCTTTCTCTTGCTTCTCTTTCTTCCTAGGTATTTATTAATTTCTCACTGACACTAAATACTTTTTAAGTTTCTTTCATTTCAGCATTTATTTTGCATTTTTTGGTTTATTGGTCATTGGTGACATTAATGGACTTTTTCAATTTTTAGTATATTTCTAAACCTTGTACAGCTTGATATTAGTTGCTGTAGCAATATTTTGTTTTCTCATCTATGAAATGATATTGGAAGTTTGGCCTTTAATGGTCAGTTTTTCAATAAAGAGATCTCTACATAAAACGTAGGGAGATATTTAAACTGTGAGATGAAAATATAAGAACAAGAAAATATTACTCTTCTAAAAGATCACAACCACTTGATCAAATTATAAAACAAAATTGCATGGAATGGGAACTGAGAGGAAATGCACAGGGAACAAAGAATAAGTCTACTTCCAGGTAGGTACATCAGACAAACTCATAATACTATGTCTTCCCTGACACAGTGGAAATAATTCTTTAAAAATTTTCCTTTCTCGGGTGTTTTGTCATAGTTAACTAACACACTCCACAAATAGTAAATTCAAAGATATTGAAATGGGTAAACTGCTAGGTGAAGATGTCTAACCATTACTAGTAAGAAAAAATAGTGATGCCCTCAAGGATACAAATAAGCAAAGAAATTCAAACGAGGATATAGAATACCAAAAACATAAAGAAAAAGTTCATCAAAATGAGTGTGAAAACTGTCAGTTGGGAGAAAAAAAAGATAGTTACATGGGAAAGAAATCCAGTAAGCATTTTTTAAAAAAATTAGAAATGTTAAAAATGAAAATAATTGATTAAAACTAGACAACATAATCAAAAGACTTGATTTAGCAGAAAAAGAATATAAGGGATGGAGAGTATGCCAAAGGTTTATAAACAATTTTAAAGTTACTTATTTAGAATGGGGCAGATTATAATACCAGTAAAGGAACATTAAGAGGAATCCTGTCTTGTCACAAGAATAAATTCTTTGGCCTCAGTAGAAACCTAACATTCCATTTAGACAGGATCAATCACCTGGCTAAGGGATCACCCCTAGGAAGGTGAATTCATCTAAAACCACGCTAAAGATATGGGTAGAATAATTAGTCTTTTAATGAGATACTGTGCTCTACATTCCCAGAAGTCCCACTCTTTGTACAGTCCCTACAATCTAAACAGTCATATGTTCTGTTCTCACCACTCTAACTTGAAAAGGTGCAGCTTGCCTCTTTACTTTTCCCTGTATCTTTCTTTTGAATGCTGGCTAGAACCTAAGTTATCTTTTCTAGTATTTCGGGCTTCTTTGGTCTTTCCCTAAAGGCCCCCTCCTTGCAGTACGGCAGACTTCCATGTCATTAACTGGCTTGGCTTTTATTTTCTTTCTCTCATTTCTCCTCTGGGAAGCTGTTGAGATTTATAGCTTGCCTTTTCTGAGTTTGTTTTGTTTGTTTATTTTTAAATCTAATAAAATTGTCCTTGAGTCAAAAAAAAAAGAATGAAAATAAAATTCCCATGTCGTATTGTAGTCAACATATAAAACATACAAAGAAAGGAAACAATATTAGATGCTGTGAGGAAAAATTGTCAACTCAACTAGAAATCAGAGTACAATTAGATTTTTGTCACAATCTTAAAAGCCAAGAAAAATATATGTCAAAACCTAAGAGTAAATAATTGTCAATCAAGGTGACTATTTCTACAAGAACCAGCTTTTAAATTTAGATGGAGTAATAAAGACATTTCAGGACAACCACAAACCACAAAGCCAGTACTAAAGAATGCTAAGAAATACTTAAATGTCACTTTAAAGAAATCTATACAAAGAAAAGGAAGTCTCAACAAGTATATAAGAAACAAAAGAACAGGCTGGAGAGATGGCTCAGTGGTTAAGAGCATTGGCTGCTCTTCCAGAGGTCCTGAGTTCAATTCCCAGCAACCTACATCGTATCTCAACAGCCATCCATAATGAGATGTGGTGCCTTCTTCTGGCCTGCAGGCATGCATGCAGGCAGAACACTGTATACATAATAAATAAATAAATCTTAAAAAAAAAAACTGCATGCGGCTATAGATGAACAAATTAAACATGGGAAGGAATACATCATGTTAAGCATAGGAAATCAGAAGAAATCTTAATATAAATAGGGAATAAATAAAAGAACAAATAATCTAAACAAACCATAAAAAACAAACAAAATACAGGAATTAGTAAATATTCTTTTAGTAAGAACCTTGTCTTAGTTGAGGTTATGATTCCTGTGATGAAACACCATGAACAAAAAGCAAGTCAGTGAGGAAAGGGTTTATTTGACTCCCACTTCAACATTGCAGTTCATCACTGAAGGAAGCCAGGACAAGAACTCCAGGGTCCTGGAGGCATAAGCTGATGCAGAGGTCACGGAGGGGTGCTGCTTACTGTCTTGCTTCCCCTGGCCTGCTCAGCCCACCTTCTTATAGAACCCATAACCAACAGCCCAGGGATGTCACCACTCACTATGGGCTGGGGCTTCCTCCATTGATCACAAAATGAAAAAATGTCTTACAGCTGGATCTCATGGAGGAATTTGTTTAACTGAGGCTCCTTCCTCTGATGACTCCAGCTCGTGTCAAGTTGACGCAAAACCACCCAGTACAAACCTCAAATGAAATGTGCTATACTTACCAAAAAAAAAAAAAAAAAGACCATAAACAATCTGACATTATCAGAAATCTAGATCCAAATATTTGTTGCCTCAGAGAAACAAATTTCACTGGCAAACACACACACACAGAGAGAGAGAGAGAGAGAGAGAGAGAGAGAAAGGATGGAAGTCACTCTATCAAGCAAATGGAAACAAAAAACAAACTGGCATAGATTTCAAGAAACCAAGAAAGCCACTATGTATTAATAAAAGAACATTTCATAAAGATGAGGTAACAAATTATCAATTCATGCGTGCCAACTGTTATGGGTTATAAATTTCATAAAAGAAACACTAACGTACATAAAAGGTCACAATAGTCCTGACTATTGGACACAAAAGGTCCACAACAGTTATTATTGTGGATTATTTCAGTATCTTACTCTTATTTGTTGATATGCCAGCCATACTAAAATTTAGCAAAATAACTTCAGAGTTATACAACCCTATAGAT